TATAGTTATCAAAATCAAGAAATTCAACATTGATACAGTATTATCTAATATACAGTGTGTATTATTGAATTATTTAATATACAATATGTAATACACACTTTCTCCAGTTGTCACAGTAATGTCCTTTACAACATTCCCTCTCCAACCTCTGCTGCCCCAATCCAGGATCCCATGCAGGTCATGTGTTGATGTGTTGTGTCTAGGTGTCATGTCTCTTTAGCTGTTACTCTGGGGCAGTGCCTCAGCATTTCCTTGACTTTCATCACACAAACAGTTTTGAAGACTGTCCCTCAATTTGGGTTTGTTTGTTAATAGCAAACAATTAGATTCCGATTATTATTTTTTTTTTTGAGACAGAGTCTCACTCTGTTTTTTTTTTTTTTTTTTAAGGTACATTTCAGAAGTGAACAGAGTCTCACTCTGTTGCCATGGCATCAGCCTAACTCACAGCAACCTCAAACTCCTGGGCTCAAGCAATCCTCCTGCCTCAGCCTCCCAGGAAGCTGGGACTACAGGCATGCGCCACCATGCCTGGCTAATTTTTTCTATATATGTATTTAGTTGGCCAATTAATTTCTTTCTATTTATAGTAGAGACAGGGTCTCGCTTTTGCTCAGGCTGGTTTTGAACTCCTGACCTTGAGTGATCCGCCTGCCTCGGCCTCTCAAAGTGCTAGGATTACAGGTGTGAGCCACCGCGCCCGGCCTGAACGCTGTTTTTTAATCACTGTTATTTTTAAACTTTTTAATCATGAAATATTATACATATTTTGAATAATGATGGTATAAATATTCTCAAATATGTCTCCTGTTGTACATGGGCATATTCCACTTGGGCATGTTTCCGTGACTGGAATCACTGTGTCATATTGTATACATGTCTTCAACATTACCAGGTAGAGTCAAAATACTTTGCAACATGGTTGTACCAATTCCCACCGCCATCAGCCATATGAGAGTTCTCATTGCACCGTATTCTCCTCAACACTTGGTATCTGTCTTTTTCATTTAAGACAATCTTTTTCTTTTTTTTATCTTTTTATCTCCTCCCACCTCTCCTCTTCCTCTCTATCCTCCCCCTGCCTCTCCTCTTCCTCTCTGTCCTCCTGCTCCTCCCGCCTCTCTTCTTCCTCCCTGTCCTCCTCCCGCCTCTCCTCTTCCTCTCTGTCCTCCTCCCGCCTCTCCTCTTCCTCTCTATCCTCCTCCCGCCTCTCCTCTTCCTCTCTATCCTCCTCCTGCCTCTCCTCTTCCTCTGTCCTCCTCCTGCCTCTCCTCTTCCTCTCTATCCTCCCCCTGCCTCTTCTCTTCATCTCTGTCCTCCCTCTGCCTCTCTTCTTCCTCTCTGTCCTCCTCCTGCCTCTCCTCTTCCCCTCTGTCCTCCTCCTGCCTCTCCTCTTCCTCTCTGTCCTCCCCCTGCCTCTCCTCTTCCTCTTTTGTAAAATGAATCCTTTGCATATTTTTCTACTAGGTGGTCTCTTTTTTCTTATTGGTTTGTTAGAGTTCTTTACATCCTCTGGCTATGAGCCTTTTGTTGTTTGTTGGCAGTAAGTGTTGCAGACATCTTCTACTCTGTGGCTTTCCTTTCTCTCTTTCTCTCTTTTTTTTTTTTTTTTTTTTTTTTTTTTTTTTGAGACAGAGTCTCACTCTGTTGCCTGGGCTAGAGTGCTGTGGTATCAGCCTAGTTCACAGCAACCTCAAACTCCTGGGCTTAAGCGATCCTCCTGCCTAGGCCTCCTGAGTAGCAGGAACTATAGGCGCATGTCACCACACTTGGCTAATTTTTTCTATTTTAGTAGAAATAGGGTCTAGCTCTTGCTCAGGCTAGTCTTGAACTCCTAAGCTCAAGCAATCTTCCTGCCCTTGCCTCCCATAGTGCTAGAATTACAGGCGTGAGCTACCACACCCGGCCTTTTTTTCCCTTTTAATTCTGTCTTTTAAATGAATAGAAGTTTATCATTCTTTTTATTTTTTTTATTTTTTTTTATTTTTGTTTTGATGCATACTGGAATGGAATACCATTCTTTTTCTTTATGGTTAATGCTTTGTGCATCCCGTTTGAGAATTATTTTCCTAAAGCAAGATCATGACGATAGTTGTCTATATCATCTTTTAAATGCTTTATAGTTTTTGTCTTTCACATTTAGGTCTATAATCCATGTGGAATTGATTTTTTTGGGCATGTGATATGAAATAGAGCTCAAATTTTATTTTATTTTTTCCTATATACAATTGCTCTAGCACCATTTATTGAAAATATTTTTCCTCACTATCTGCCTGGACACCTTTGGCATAAATGGGATGAGCACATATGTGGGTCTGTTTCTATCCTCTATTCTGTTCTGGTGGATTATTTGTGTATCCTAGCAGCACTACCACATGTCTTAAATTTCTGTTGTTTTATAAGTCCTACAGTCTTATAAAACATGTTCTCTGGTGTTGCTTTTACCATTGAGGAGTGTCTTGGCTATTCTTAGCCATTTGCATTTCCATGTAAATTTTGTAATTGGTTTGTTAGATTCCACAAAATCCTGTTGTGATTTCAATTGGGATGGCCTTGAATTTATTGATTTCTGCTTATTTTAGTCTTTGTCTCTTAGGGTTTACTCTATTGTTATTTTTATAATGTCTTGATTTAGATGCTTAATGCATGAAATTTTGGACTTTATTCTTTTGAAATATGAGCACTAAAGACTCTGCTTTCCACTCTAATTATTACCATTTCATTATTCTACAAATTCTAACATGTACTAATTTCATTAATGTTTTGTTTTAGACATATTCTAGTGTACCTTCTTAGACTATGAGTTACTTTGAATGTTTTAAAATGTTTTTAAACTTTAAAATTATGATTTTTGAAAAACTTCCTCTTAAGGAAGTTTCTGACTTAACTATACTGCATTTCGAGATGGTCTGTATGATGTGGCCTCTGTATCTTCTCTGTCTGTGTGCCCTTCCTGAGCAGTCTCATTTGTACTAAGAACTCCCAAATCTTATCTCTGTCCTAGCCAAAAACCTATTATGTAACTCCCTATATGTTTTACCACTTTAATTTCAACATGAACAAAATGTAACAATTATGTTTCATCCCCTTCCACCCCCCCCCCCACTAGCCCGTCTCTCAGTAGATAGCAGCGTGGTCTACATGGTTGTATAAAACCAAGAACTGAAAATTGCCCTATTCTTTCTTTTTCTTACTCCCCAGTCAGCCTCCTTAAAACATAGCATCAACACCTTCTTCTACATCCCAATTACAACAGCTATGTTAAGTCCAGATTGTTTTATTCTCTCACATAAACTCTGCAGTTCATCTTCAGACTGGTCTTCTGGTCTCACTCATTTCAAATATTCCCTATGAAGCATTTGAATACCGTTTTAAAGCATACAGTTATGATCATGTCTTTGCCTGCATGTAATTGGCAGTTCATTCTCTACTAGAAAAAGACTTGTTCCTTGTTTTGACCCCAATGTATCTCTACTGAGTTTTCTTCATAACTACTTTCTCAACATATAATATACTACATAGACTCCTCTCCTTTATATGGAACTATCTCTAATTCCCTGAATCCAACATGTAGTTTCCTTCCTACCTTTCTTTCTCTCTCTTTCTTTCTTTCTTTCTTTCTTTCTTTCTTTCTTTCTTTCTTTCTTTCTTTCTTTCTTTCTTTCCTTCCTTCCTTCCTTCCTTCCTTCCTTCCTTCTTTCTTTTCTTTTCCTTTCTTTCTTTCTTTCTTTCTTTCCTTCCTTCCTTCTTTCTCCTTCCTTCCTTCCTTCCTTCCTTCCTTCCTTCCTTCCTTCCTTCCTTCCTTTCTTTCTTTTCTTTCTTTCTTTTCTTTTTTTTTGGACTGAGTCTCACTCTGTTGCCCAGGCTAGAGTGCCATGGCATCAGCCTAGCTCACAGCAACCTCAAACTCCTGGGCTCAAGTGATCCTTCTGTCTCAGCCTCCCGAGTGCTGGGACTACAGGCATGTGCCACAATGCCCAGCTAATTTTTTATATATATATTTTTTAGTTCTCCAGCTAATTTCGTTCTATATATTTTTTTAGTAGAGATGGGGTCTCCCTCTTACTCAGGCTGCTCTTGAACTCCTGAGCTCAAACGATCCACCCACTTCAGCCTCCCAGAGTGCTAGGATTACAGGCATGAGCCACCACACTCAGCCTTTATTTATTTATTTATTTATTTTTTTTTTTTTGAGACAGGGTCTCACTCTGTCACCCAGGCTGGAGCACAATGGCACGATCCATAGCTCACTGCAGCCTCAAACTCCTGGGCTCAAGCAATACTCCTGCCTCAGTAGCTGGGACTATAGACATGTGCCTCCCCAGTAGCTGGGACTATAGACATGTACCATCACACCCAGGTAATTATTAATTTTTTTTTTTTTTTTTTTTTGTAGAGACAGGGTCTGCTTATGTTGCCCAGGCTGGTCTCAAACTCCTGGCTTCAAGTGATCCAGCCACTTTGGCCCCCCTAAAGTGCTGAGATTACAGGCATGAGCCACCACTCCCAACTTACAATGCATTTTTCTATTTTCCTTCCTCCACATTTTTGCCCCTGATTCTCCCTTCTAGATTACTCATACCCACTGTCTCTATGTAGCCTAACCTCATGCTTTCTATACCTTTCTTCTAAATGCCTTTTAGCTCTCTTTTCGTCTGCCTATGTTGGTTATCCAAGTCTTTAAATTGTTTTACACTTTATTCAATTATATATCACTATTGGCTAGCACATCATCTAGCACATAATCGATCAGTAAATGTATCTAGTTCCTAAGTTAACTAGAGGACTTAAAGAGAGTCCATTTAAATCCTTATTTTTGAAAAAGGAATGACTGAATGAATAAATGAATGAATATGGTATACAATTATAGTTAAGATACTTTAATAATTTTCTCCTCTCACAAAATAAAATACAAAATTAGGTATTTAGTGAAACTGCTACATGCTACATTATCATAAAGAGCATAAAAAACAACTTCCCATCTATCTTCCATCCTCCAGTGCTGACCATGCTGCCTTGAACAGGATTGTGTTGTTACAGGTACCAGTGTCATTTGAGGATGTGACTGTGGACTTCAGCAGGGAGGAGTGGCAGCACTTGGACCCTGCTCAGAGACGCCTATACTGGGATGTGACACTGGAGAACTACATCCACCTGCTCTCAGTGGGTAAGCACAGCCATCCTGCGCATCTGCGAGGGGCCCCAGTGAGGGTGTTTCCAATCTCAGCTGCTGAGTGCTGCCCGACATCGGAAGTGTGTGCTGGTGTCATCCTTGATTTGTCTGGAATTCCTCAGTCCCTTTTCACCTCTGCGAATGTTATTCTGCTTCTAGTGAAACATGGTTACTCTTCTGAAGAGCAAATGGAAAGTGTCATTGAAAGGCCCCTGAAACCCAATCAGCTAGACCCAATCCTGTATCATGTCCTGTTAACAGGGTATCGAGTTCCCAAGCCAGAGGCCGTCTTCCAGCTGCAGCAAGAGGAGGGGCTGTGGACACTGGAGGGGGAAGCCCCACACCAGAACAGTTCAGGTGAGTGAGTGATCTCGACAGATGGGGACGTGGAAGTAAATGTCACTTTCCCTAGGAGAGACTGATGTCTTTGAAAGGCTGTGAAGATACCCCATCTTGGAAATTCTAAACTTTTGGAGTTGATTGGAGATAGTTGACAGTAGCCTTCATATACCTAAATGCCATCTCCATGTATGACCCTTGCCACATTATTATCTTCTTCTTTGCTTGGCTTTTTGGCAAGAGATCTGTGCCTACTCTCTACCACATACCACCCAATCTTATCTGGGACTTTTTTTTTTTTTTTTTTGAGACACAGTCTTTTTCTGTTGCCCGGGTTAGAGTGCCATGGAATCAGTCAAGCTCACAGCAACCTCAAACTCCTGGGCTCAAGTGATCCTTCTGCCTCAGCCTCCCAAGTAGCTGGGACTACAGGCATGCGCCACCATGCCTGGCTAATTTTTTCTACATATTTTTAGTTGTCCAGTTAATTTCTTTCTATTTTTAGTAGAGACGGGGTCTCGCTCTTGCTCAGGCTGTTCTCGAACTCCTGAGCTCAAACCATCCGCCCACCTCAGCCTCCCAGAGTGCTAGGATTATAGGCATGAGACACCGTGGCCAGCCTTACCTGGGACTATTTTATTTTTCCTGCTCCACCTCACCCTCCATCTTAGATTCTTTCCTTGTACATTCAGCTATTTTTCAGTTTATTCTCTTTTATTCCAATTCCACATATCCATTCCTTATAAATCCTTTCATGGGCAACTAGGCCAATGTGTTTGTGTGATGTTCTTTTAAAGCCTGAAATATTGGTTTATGAGTATATATTTTTAGTATATATAAATTATGTTGTGCTGTGTATCTTAATTCTGTTCCTCTTTTTCACTCATTCCAAAGGTTTGTCCATATTATAGTGTGTTTGTCTGGCTTTGTTCTTCAGATTGCTGCATAATATTCCACAATGTGCCAGCACCATGTCTTACTTAACCATTCACCTGGTCATGGACACTGAGGGTTGTATCTAACTTTCAGCTAATAAAAACAACTCTGCGCCGGGCGCGGTGGCTCACGCCTGTAATCCTAGCACTTTGGGAGGCTGAGGCGGGCGGATTGCTCAAGGTCAGGAGTTCGAAACCAGCCTGAGCGAGACCCCGTCTCTACCAAAAATAGAAAGAAATTAATTGACCAACTAAAAATATATATATACAAAAAAAATTAGCCGGCCATGGTGGCGCATGCCTGTAGTCCCAGCTACGCGGGAGGCTGAGGCAGCAGGATAGCTGAGCCCAGGAGATTGAGGCTGCTGTGAGCCAGGCTGACGCCACGGCACTCACTCTAGCCTGGGGAACAAAGTGAGACTCTGTCTCAAAAAAAAAAAAACAAAAACAAAAAAACAACTCTGCAATACATTTCTACATAAATTTTCCCTTATGGGGTGTGAGAATTTCTCAGTGCTTGTAGAGAAGGGAGGGCTTGTCTAATCACTGAGTATTCTCAGCCTGAATTTGGCTGAGTACTAGCATGTTATTCTCAGGTTGGCTGCACTGTACTCATAGCAACAGTACACGAGAGTTCTTGCTTTCCCAGAGTTCCTGCCACAGTTTCTCATTTTTTGCCCAACAATGGGTATAAAGGGGCATCTCATTTTTTATTTTGCATTTCTCTAGTACCTAATTTGAGCTTTTCATTATTTACCTGTTATCTCTTTGAGTTTCCCTCCTATGAGTTACATTGTTCATAACATTTCCCATGTTTCAATTGAGCTTTCTCAGTTGTCTGTTTCTTACTGATTTGCATCCGATTTATCATTTTCCCTTTTTTCCAGCCTTTTCTTCCTCACTTCCCCCGTAAATGAGGTTTCCCTGGGGATCTCATCTCCTGTTCACCAGTCTTTCCTTCATGTCTGTGTAATGATCCAGCCACACTGGAATACTGATGGCTCCTCTTTTGACATCCCTGGTCTCTGTTTTTCACTGGTACTTTAATTACTATATTCAGCTACCCAGAGAGTTCCTATGAGATGTTTGTCTTGATCCTCAGTACACTGGAAATCAGAATCATCACCTCACAGATCAGAAACTCTTCTCAACTTTCAAATTTTGTCTGTCATACTCTGTCAGTGTTTCTTAAGTATTTCCTCTCAGCCATTTTGTTTTATTAATCACTCTATAGTTTCTACTGCTTTTGTCTTTGTGCAAATATTGTTGTCTATTCTCAGTTCTTCACAGTTCATGTCTCAGTTCATCGTCTCAGTTCCCAGTGAGATCATGCAAAACCAGCTCCACATTTTCATCTGCCTGGATCATGATTATTCTATTCCTGATTCGATTTGCTGGTTCTATTCTTTTTGCTAGTTCGTTTTAAATGCTAGTGACAGATTGCATTACCTAAAACACTCTATTTGTCTTGCCATAAGCTTTATGAAACAAACCTACGATTGCTCTCCATTACCTAGTATGCCACAATTAAACTCTTATGTCTTGTAAAGACATAAACAACATGGCCACATATTTCCAATACAAACTTGTATCTGTATATTTTCCATAACCTCAGCTCAACTCCATTTTTTAATATTTTCTTAATGTTTCTCATATTTTATAGTCCTCCTTGAATCTGACTCTTTATTCTGTGATCTGTCTATTCAGGTGATACATTTTCCACCTTGCGATCATATTTCACCTGTCGCATGAAATGGCTCTTAATTACTCCAACATATGTGGCTCTTTCTTTTTTCTTATCTTCCATCCTATAGGTATCCAGAGAAAAATCACAGGATTTTACAGTGTGTGGGTAACTGAGGCTTTTACTTCTATGTTTTTAAAAAGTCTCCAGAATTAAGAGCCTGTTTCTTTTTTTAAAAAATTAATTAATTTTGACAAATAAAAATTGTATATATTTTTCATGTTCAGCATGATGTTTTGAAATATATATATATAACCTGTTTCTTATTATAGAATATAATTCAGGGTTTGATCAGGAGAGAAAAACCACACATTAATTTAAACAGGGAAGGTTTAACATGATTATTAACTAGAGTGGGATTGGAGTAAGAGAGGTTAGCTAGTAAAAGGTAAAGAGAACTCTGAAAAATAAAGGAATAGCAGATACAAAGTGCAGCTATGTTCTCTAAGGCTGTGACAGGGCAACCAGGGAAGAGGCTCCCCTGCTTCCCAGGGATGAGATCAAGATCTTGTGGGGAGGGCACAATTGTGGCTCACAGCATGGTAGAAGAGTTACTGTGGTGCTATGCTAGCAGAACTTGCTGGCAATGTGCCCTCTTGGGTTCCAGAGAAAGCTATTCATGGGGAGGTGTCTCACTGGAGGCATTCCATTACAAACTATCTGAGAGTAAACTGTTGGATGCTGGGCCCTGCTGGCTGCAATGCACCACAGGAGCCCGAACAAGCTGGGTGCTTGGGAAGCCATACGAGCTACAGGAGCTGGGTGCTAGAGAAGCCATCCACACTGCAGGAGCTGTGCTCTGGAGAAGCCACCCACACTGCAAGACTGGGACACTGGGGACGCTGCGTGTGCATCCAGAGCCAGGTGTCAGCAAAGCTGTCTGCACTGCAGGATCCTGGTGGTAGACACACTGCCTGTGCTGGAGGAGCCTATTGAGTGAGCCCCCTTGAACCAGAAGGGAGGCAAAACCCCCTTCTCCTACAGTGTCTCTCTAGCATCTTCCACTGACAGAGCGTATCATCCTACACGCTGGCAGAGGAAAAAATATTTAAAGAGACCCAAATCCATTTTTTTTTTAGACAGAGTCTCACTCTGTTGCCCAGGCTAGAGTGTGGTGGCGTCAGCCTAGCTCACAGCAACCTCAAACTCCTGGGCTCAAGCAATCCTCCTGCCTCAGCCTCCCGAGTAGCTGGGACTACAGGGCATGCGCCACTGCGCCCGGCTACTTTTTTCTATTTTTAGTTGTTTGGCTAATTTCTTTATATTTATAGTAGAGATGGGGTCTTGCTCTTGCTCAGGCTGGTCTCAAACTCCTGAGCTCAAGCAATCCTCCCGCCTTGGCCTCCCGAAGGGCTAGGATTACAGGCGTGAGCCAACCTACCCGACCCCAAATCCATTTTTGTAGAGCAGGCAAAGAAGGGTGAATTTGGAGTTGAGAGGTGATAAATTGATAACTGGCACAGAGATTCTCTAGTTTTCTAAAGTGAAGCATGTAGAAAATATTTAGTCAACAAATTTATTGAATTTGGGGAGATAGGCAGAGGAGGATATTTTGTTCTCTTTCAGAAGGATTTTTCTTTTTTTTATTTTAGCGAATCAGAAGGATTTTTTTTTTTTTTTTTTTTTGAGACAGAGTCTCGCTTTCTTGCCTAGGCTAGAGTGAGTGCCATGGCGTCAGCCTAGCTCACAGCAACCTCAAACTCCTGGGCTCAAGCGATCCTCCTGCCTCAGCCTCCCGAGTAGCTGGGACTACAGGCATGCGCCACCATGCCCGGCTGATTTTTTATATATATATATATATTAGTTGGCCAATTAATTTCTTTCTATTTTATGGTAGAGACGGGTCTCGCTCAGGCTGGTTTTGAACTCCTGACCTTGAGCAATCCGCCCGCCTCGGCCTCCCAGAGTGCTAGGATTACAGGCGTGAGCCACCGCGCCCAGCCGAATCAGAAGGATTTTTCAAGCATCTGCTCAGAGGAATCCAAAGGACCCTTTGGAAAGGGAAGACAACTGCATGAAATATTAACACTCTACCCCTTTGTGTACTTGTTCTTTCTGTTATAAAACTATGCCAAATTGTATATTGATATGAATGGTGCAGTGTCTGCTTTATAAAATCATATCAAATATAAGCTCCCTAGAGGTATACTGAAATTAGTACTAATATCTAAAAGGATAACACATTTTGAATAATCACAGAGTGGCAAAATAAGAAGCTAAATATAGACATATGTCTTCTCTTATATAATTATTTTGAGGTGAATGAGTCCAGTTCAACAAGTCGACTTTGATCTCCATGGGTCATTTAGGAGCCACGTTCCAAGTAATTACTCCAAATAAAAAAAAAAGAAAAATCCTTCTGAAAGAGAACAAAATATCCTCCTCTGCCTATCTCCCCAAATTCAATAAATTTGTTGACTAAATATTTTCTACATGCTTCACTTTAGAAAACTGGAGAATCACTGTGCCAGTTATCAATTTATCACCTCTCAACTCCAAATTCACCCTTCTTTGCCTGCTCTACAAAAATGGATTTGGGGTCGGGTAGGGTGGCTCACGCCTGTAATCCTAGGGCATTGTTGTCAGCTGCACGGTTAATATTGGGTCGCTGTGGAATCCAGTGGAAAAAAGGAAGAGGAAATAGAGATTTGCCCACTGTCCTAAGGCCTGTCTGGAAGCAGCACATATCAATTCTGCTTATATTCCATTGATGAAAACAAAGTGAGGCTGGTGAATATAAGGCTGAGCTACATTCTACTGTGTTTCCCTGAAAATAAGACCTACTCATAAAATAAGCCCTAGCAGGATTTCTAAGCATTTGTGCAATATAAGCCCTACCCCGAAAACAAGACCTAGTGATGGGCGTGGCTACACAGCGTATCTGCACAACCCATGCATTTCGTCGCAGAACAGTAAAGAAGACAAACAGCCCTTCTCATCTGCCCCATCATGACAGCTACTATCCCAGAGGTGACCAGAAAGGTGCGGGCAGCCCCACTAACAAGGTCGGCTCCCCCTGTCGGGTTCCGGCCATCCTGTGCATGTTACAAGCTGATGCTTTAAGGGGAAAATAACACATCCTCTTAAAATAAGCCCTAGGGTGTCTTCTTGAGGGAAAATAAATATAAGACCCTGTCTTATTTTCGGGGAAACACGGTATTACTATGAAAGAAAGGGAGAATAGAGCTCAGCAGGGGGCTTGCAGTTTCTTCTGCAGAGGGCTTTCCCTTTCCTATTTGACATTTCTTGTTATAAGCATGTGTTATAAGCATGCATTCCTGGGACCAAGAGAAACTTGCAGCTAGTTATAGAGTTGCAGCACTGATATCTATTTACTATTTGTCTATGTCAGGATGGTGATGTTGCAACAGTTTTCCTATAGACATAAAGAAATTGGTGTTTGAGGCATATAAATTTAACATTGATACTCATAATGGTTTAGAGGGAAAGCAAGAAGAAGCAGAGAGGTTAGTAAGGTGTTAGAACTGACAAATAAGGACATGCATTCCGAAACATTTCTTCTATGCCAGGCTTTCCCCTAATAGGCTTAAGTTTCTTTTTTCTGATTGCTCTACTCACTATGCAGACCTCTTACATAGTGGAGCTGGAATCCCAGAGTTCAAATCACATCTCTTCCACTTATTTAGCTATTTGGTCTTCAACAAGTGACCCAACTTCTCTGTGTCTGTGTTTTCTCAATTGTAAAACAGTTGATAATAGTAGCTACCTCATAGGGTTTAGTGAGGGTTAAAGGAGCTGTTATGTGTAAAGTACTTGGAACAGTGCCTGGTGAATCATAAATGGTATATAATTGTTTTGCATCTATTAAGTGCTCTATAAGAATTTTGTATTACTACATTATTGGTATTATTGTTGTCATATGAACGCTTCCATTCTTCTATGTTCATCCTATTTGAACTACATGTACTCTCTGTCCTCTACTAATGACTCTTTCCGTGATTTTCATTTCTTTCTTTTTGTTTTTAGGTGAGGCTCTTGGGAAAACTCAACAACAGGGAATTTCTGGAGAAGTTTCATTCCACTGTGAGAGATTTGATCAACCCATAGGAGAAGATTCTTTGTGTCCCATTTTAGAAGAACTGTGGCAAGATAACAACCAGCTAGAGAGATATCATGAAAACCAGAATAACCCTTTAAGTTACATAAAACTATTGATTAAGGAGAAGGGCTATGAATTTAAAAACTTTGAAAAAATAATTCATGTGACTACCAAGCTTATTCCTTCAATTAAAAGACTCCATAACTGTGACACATTTGGAAAGAGTTTGAAGCATACTTTAAAGTTACATAATCATAACAGAAGCAATGCAACAAAAAGCCTTGGTAAGAGTTTTGAAAATGGTAACAATTTGGCCCATAGCTCTTCCTCTACTAAGAATGAGAAAATTAAGACAGGAGCGAATTCCTATGAATATAATCAATGTGAGAAACATCTTGGCCACAAACAAGCTCTCATCCACCATCAGAAAATTCATACTGGGGAGAAACTGCATGTGTGTACTGAATGTGTAAAGGGCTTCACCCAGAAGTTACATCTCTTTGAGCATCAGAGAATTCATGCTGCAGAAAAATCCCATGAATGTGACAAAAGTGACAAACTCTTCACTCAGAAGCCACAAATTGGTGTACATCAGAGTGTTTATACAGGGAAGAGACCTTATCTATGTACTCAATGTGGGAAGGCCTTTACCCTCAAGTCAAACCTTATTACACATCAGAAAATTCATACTGGGCAGAAACCCTATAAATGCAGTGAATGTGGAAAAGCCTTTTTCCAGAGATCAGATCTCTTCAGACATCTGAGAATTCATACAGGAGAGAAACCTTATGAATGCAGTGAATGTGGAAAAGGATTCTCCCAGAATTCAGACCTCAGTATACATCAGAAAACTCATACCGGAGAGAAACACTATGAATGCAGTGAATGTGGAAAAGCTTTCACAAGAAAATCAGCACTCAGGATGCATCAGAGAATTCACACAGGAGAGAAACCTTATGTATGCACTGAATGTGGGAAGGCCTTCATCCAGAAATCACACTTCAATACACATCAGAGAATTCACACCGGAGAAAAGCCTTATGAATGCAGTGACTGTGGGAAAACATTCACTAAGAAGTCACAACTCCATGTGCATCAAAGAATTCACACAGGAGAAAAACCTTATATATGTACAGAATGCGGAAAGGTCTTTACTCATAGGACAAATCTCACTACACATCAGAAAACTCATACTGGGGAGAAACCTTATATGTGTGCTGAGTGTGGGAAGGCTTTTACTGATCAGTCAAATCTCATTAAACACCAGAAAACTCATACTGGAGAGAAACCCTATAAATGCAATGGCTGTGGAAAAGCCTTCATATGGAAGTCACGTCTCAAGATACATCAGAAATCTCATATTGGAGAGCGACACTATGAATGCAAGGAATGTGGAAAAGCCTTTATCCAAAAGTCAACACTAAGTGTGCATCAGAGAATCCATACAGGAGAGAAACCCTATGTTTGTCCTGAATGTGGAAAGGCCTTTATCCAGAAATCACACTTCATTGCACATCATAGAATTCATACTGGAGAGAAGCCTTATGAATGCAGTGACTGTGGTAAATGCTTCACAAAAAAGTCACAACTCCGTGTGCATCAGAAAATCCACACAGGTGAGAAGCCCAATATATGTGCCGAATGTGGAAAGGCCTTCACTGACCGGTCAAATCTCATAACACACCAGAAAATCCATACTCGGGAGAAACCCTATAAATGCAGTGACTGTGGAAAAACTTTCACCTGGAAGTCACGCCTCAACATACATCAGAAATCCCATACTGGAGAGAGAGACTATGAATGCAGTAAATGCGGGAAAGCTTTCATCCAGAAAGCAACACTAAGTATGCATCAGATAATTCATACAGGGAAGAAACCTTATGCTTGTACAGAATGTCAGAAGGCCTTCACCGACAGATCAAATCTCATTAAACACCAGAAAACGCATAGTGGAGAAAAATGCTATAAAGCCATTGACTGAAAAAACCTTCACCTGGAAATGACAATTGGTTATGCATCAGGTATCTCCTAGTGGGGGAGAGTAATGCCTGATGCTGCAATCATTGTGCAGGGAGAAGTAGATATGAGAGACTGGCTTGAGTGAACAGAAGACAAAAAGAGTAAAGTATCCATCAGTTCACTGGAAATAGAAGTCCCTGCATCACCACAGTTGATATGCAATCATATGCGTAGGGAGATCCTTCAGATAAAGCATTGGAGCAATAGTCATGTTTAGTTACATGATTGATACAGGGACTCTCAAGGTCCTGTAAATGGTAGAAATAATGACCCAAGGAGATGACTTGTCATCTCTTGTGTTTCACTTTTTGGATAAAGGACTTTGTAAATCATTGATTAGTTCTTCATACTCTGGGACATAAAAGTACTCAATACTAGCCAATTTTTTTCAAATTTCTAGGTTGGGAAGAAGAGTTTTCATTGTCTAAACACTTGCAGGGCACTAACATCAAGGCAACAAAAAAAACTATTTTGGAATGCAGATCTATGAATAGAATCCAGAAGTCTTTGTGATCATTGGCATTTAAGACATAGAAAAGACTTCCATGAAGAACTGTTTTTTCTCTTCCCTTCGGGAAATCACCATGGTATATATATTTTAAGTGAAATATAATATTTAAACTTAAAGTTTGACCTTGTGAATTGGGAAATTAGATATAGCTCTAGCCTGTTTTACAGGAACATGGTCATTGAATGTTCTGGGTATCTAAAGGTGGCAGTTGTCTTCTTATTAATTCTCTGCTGTGGCAGCAGGTGAGTCACATCCTATAAAAGGTATGCATGCCTTTTAATCTGTGCCCCCAAAACTATCATTTACATAAGCTGCAGAACATAGACTTCTTATCCCCTTAGTAATCAACCCTAAGACAATGCAACGGAGCCACAGCACTCTGGATTTTCAGTCTCTTCCTCCAATGCCTCTGCTTTCCTTGTGATTCCTGTTTGAAAAAGAATGGTTGGAAAATTAGATTTCAATGCATAAAATTTTGTTTGTCTTCCAATTTGGTTAAGATATATTTCTTTTCTACATGCACATTAAGGGTAGTTTTGTGTAGATTGCTGTGGGATAAAGTCATGTTGCACTGCAGTTTGTTATTCTAAGTTATAATTATAGTTTATTGTAGTTGAAACACTTATCTAGAAAGAGTGCTGTTTTTTTTAACACTGACATATGGAGACTTTCTCATCTTCCCTTAAATATTTTTTATAATACTGATAAAAAGGGCTTTCTTTCTAGCATGCAATTTTATTTTATTTTAAAATCTTTTTTTTTTTTGAAACAGAGTTGAACTCTGTTGCCAGGGCTAGAGTGCTGTGGTGTCAGCCTAGCTCACAGCAACCTCAAAATCCTGGGCTCAAGCAATCCTCCTGCCTCAGCCTCCCGAGTAGCTGGGACTACAGTCATGCACCATAGATGCCAGGCTGATTTTTGCTATATATTTTTAGCTATCCAAGTAATTTCTTTGTATTTTTAGTGGAGATGGGGTCTCGCTCTTGCTCAGGCTGGTCTCGAACTCCTGAGCTCAGACTGTCCACCCGCCTTGGCCTCCCAGAGTGCTAGGATTATAGGTGTGAGCCACCATGCCCGGCCTAAAATATTTTTATTAAACTGCAATATATACAGAAAATAGCATATATCATAAGCATACAACTCAATGCATTCTCATAAACTGAACATACTCAGATCAAGAAACAAAACATGACCAGCACCCCAGAAGCCCTTCCCATGCTTCCTTCCAGGCTCCCTACCAAGGGTAAACACTATCCTGACTTGTAATAGCATAGATTCATTTTGCCTGTTTTGCATTTTATACAAATTGAGACACAATTATATCCCATATAATTGAGTGATATACTCATTGGTGTCTACTATCATTCACATTATGTATGTGAGATTCATCCATATTGTTGCATATAGTTGTAGATAATTCATTCTCATTGTCATATTGTATCCTATTGTATGAATATGCTGAAATATAATTTCTCCATTCTACTGTTGCTAGACCTTTGGATTGTTTGCAGCTTGGGGCTACTAGGAATAGTGCTATCTATTGGTGAACATATGTATGAATTTCTGTCAGACATATACCTAGGAGTTGAACTTCCAGACCATGGTGTATCCATATTTCCAGCTATACTTTATAAAACCAGTTTTCCAAAGTTGCTGTACCAATATATGCTCCCACCAACACAGTATGACAGTTCTAAGAGCTCCACATCCTTGCCAACCCTTGGTATTTTCCATCTTTTTTACTATAGCCATTAATGGTGGGTGTATAGTGATATCCCAATGTGGTTTTAGTCTTTATTTCCTTTTCCTCCAAACCATTTTAGTATCTCCCCAGGACAGATGAATGATGTCTGAGACCTGAGACGTAGGCATGTTCCTCATATGGCTGCACCATTTTACATTCTCACCATCAGTGTGTGAGGGCTCCACATTCTCCACATCCTCACCAACTCTTAATATTATCAGTCATTTTTTATTATAGCTATTCTAGTATATATGAAGTGATATTGTGATATCAATTTACATTGCCCTGATGATTAATGATACTGATCATCTTTTTTTGAGAATCTTTTATAAAGTATCTGTATAAAGTATAAAGTATTCAAATATTTTGCCCAAGGCCAGGTGTGGCAGCTCATACCTGGAATCCCAGAACTCTGGGAGGCCAAGTCAAGAGCATCACTTGAGGCCAGGAGTTCAAGACCAGCCTGGGCAACATCATGAGACCCTGTCTCAAAAAAAAAAAAAAAAAAGGCTATTTCCTTTCTCTATAAAAAAAAAAGAAAAAAAAATCTTTAGCCCATTATTAATTGGGTTATTTGTTTTCTTTTTTTTTTATTATTAATCCAGAAGTCGAGAAAGTGATGTCAGAGGGTTATTTGTTTTCTTATTGTTGAGCATTGAGAGGTTGTTTTCTATACTGAATATAAATCCATTATCAGTCCATTATCCTTGCAAAGACTTCCAGTCTCTGAGTTATCCTTTCATTCTCTTATGTCTTTTGAATAGCAAAAATGCTTATTTTGATCAAGTCCAGTGTTTCAATTTGTTCTTCTATAGGTTGTGCTTTTGATGTTGTATCTAAGAAATCTTTGCCTAACCAAATATTATAATGATTTTTCTTTCCCCTGTGTTTTCTTCTAGAAGTTTAACAATTTTAGGTTTTACATCTAGGACTGTGATCCATTTTGAGTTGATTTTTTTTTTTTTTTTTTTTTTTTTTTTGAGACAGATCTGCTTTCTTGCCTAGGCTAGAGTGAGTGCCGTGGTCAGCTAGCTCACAGCAACCTCAATCTCCTGGTGCTCAAGCAATCCTGCTGTCTCAGCCTCCCGAGTTGCTGGGACTACAGGGCACGAGCCACCATGCCCGGCTATTTTTTTATATATATATATATTTAGTTGGCCAATTAATTTCTTCTATTTTTATAGTAGAGAGTCTCGCTCAGGGCTGGTTTTGAACTCCTGACCTTGAGCAATCCGCCCGCCTCGGCCTCCCAGAGTGCTAGGATTACAAGCGTGAGCCACCGCGCCCGGCCTTGAGTTGATTTTGTATATGGTGTGAAGTATGGATCCAAGTTCTTTTTTGTTTTGCATATGAATACCCAAATGTTTCCACACCATTTATTTAAAAATACTACCCTTTCTCCATATTTTGACTTTGATCAAAAATCACTTGTCCGGCCGGGCTCAGTGGCTCACGCCTGTAATCCTAGCACTCTGGGAGGCTGAGACGGGCGGATTGCTCGAGTCAGGAGTTCGAAACCAGCCTGAGCAAGAGCGAGACCCTGTCTCTACTAAAAATAGAAAGAAATTAATTGGCCAACTAATGACTATATAGAAAATTAGGACTGGGGAGCATGGTGTGCATGCCTGTAGTCCCAGCTACTCGGGAGGCTGAGGCAGCAGGATCACTTGAGCCAGGAGTTTGAGGTTGGCTGTGAGCTAGGCTGATGCGCACAGCACTCACTCTAGCCTGGGCAACGCAAAGCGAGGACTCTCGTCTCAAAAAAAAAAAAAAATCCAATTGTCCAAAGTCTATACTGTCTGGAATGGGTGGAGTGAAGAGCTCATCAAATCTCTTCCCTCAAAACAATTATAAAAGTGTAAAAATAATAATTTGCAAAAAACAACGTTTTTTAAAACACTGGCATTCATTAAGGCATATCTCAATTGGAAAAGTGGTTGTATTTGATCTTTAAAAAATTACCAACCTTGGAAGAATTGTGAGGGTCTAATGGCATTTAAACTTACAGCTGCTCCCTCCCCAGCTTGTGGGTGTAAGTGCCATGAGGAATGGAAGTATAAGTCTTAACAAATGGAGAGAGCTGACCTGACTTGGAACTCAGAGAAAGCTCATGCCTAGGGGTATTGTAAACAATAGCAATATTAGTGGCAGTAAGTGGGGAAGGCCAATCTACAGCTGCTTAAGCTTCAGCATTGTTTTGAGTAAGCAGCCAGAACCAGGATGAAAATTTCACAGGGAAGATATTGGAAAATTAAGACAGCAACGAGGGCATGATAAGCTCCCCCATTATTCCTCAGGATGGTGGAAGGTTGTGTTCATGACCACAACATACTGGAGAGGCCTATTATTCACTCATCCTGGATGAATGTGGAGGCCTATACAGAAGCACAAATGAATGTCAGCACAGACTTATAAGCGGCCATAAACTTAATGTGTGCCAACTCACACAATTTACCACCCATAGTGGAAGCACATACTAGTTGAGGTGTATAACCACAACTTCGGACAGTCATTGGCTGACACTAAACTATGTCAACCCACAGGTGACCCCAAGGAAAGCCAGTCATAAAAATTAAAAGAATTCCTTAAAAGCCTGGAGCAGAAGCAATCAGTAGTGGCACACTGAAGGGATGATTAAATCCACACACTAGTCCCCAGAAGTCCCTAAACAAACAAAACAAATCCTTCAACAATAAACTGTGAAGGCAGGATTGCTAAAATATATTGTCTACGATGATCAAGTTTTAAATTATGAGACATGCAAAACAGCAAACTCACACACACACACACACAGAGGAAATTGTTTCCATACAGGGGAAAGCGGTCACTAGAAATTTGTCTCTGAGATGTCACACATGTTGTCATTTAATAAAGACTTCAAAAACCCCGGGGGCGGACAGAGGTCAGGATCTCTT